TATATAAAATTATTTAAACTTTTTGTTTTTGGTTAGAGTTAATTGTCTTTGGAATTTGAAGTATGATTCTAGAAATGATTTGACAGACTCATTTTTAGCATTGTCATTTACTAATTCCACAAGGCTTATGTATATTGGAAAATATGGAGAATTGGAATGTATAAGTGATAGGAGTGGACTTGATTTAGAGTGTAGTTCATTATGTATAGTAGAATTTATTGATTTAGCTGGCTGGTTAATTCAGATTCACAGAAATGCAGTTAATATGATAAAAATTTGCCGAAATCTTGATTTGATGAAGGAGGAATCATCACCATCTGAGAATTTAGGTTATCTTCTAGATATTTAGTTGATTGTTGATTATTCTTTCAAACTTTTTTTTACTCTATTAATGATATAATTATTATTATTAATTATTTCTTTGAAAAGTACAAGGGAATTTAATCTCACGTTGGATTCCACCCAAGAATACAATAATTGAAGTTGCAAGTGTATACCAATCAATCATTATTTGCAGTTTATCTTCATCTGACGGCAAAAGTATATTAATTGCTCTTAAAGTAAATTACGATAAAAATAAAGAAGATTTGTAAGTTATTGATATGTTGATTAAATTTTTTATTTAAAAAAACACATTTATAATAATTAAATTTATTTCTTTTATTAGAAATGGTATTTGCTATACTCAAATTGGAGAATATATATTGGATAGTCAATCATGTTTTATTAATTGTATTGCTCCTTGGTAATTAACAAATAACAACAACAATTAGAGAATAATTAATTAATTAATTAATGTTTTTATTATTATTCATTAATTAGTGAACTTATTCCTTTTCCAATCTGTATTATTGGAACCTTTAAACCATGTATTAAAATTTTGTCTATTGACGATAAAAATATATTTAATTTATTGCATGAAGAGACTTTAGGTAAATCGATCAATCAATTATTATGATTTTATTACCAAAGTGTTGTTTTTACTATTATTATTGTTTGATAATATTAATTAATTAATTTTTAGAAAACTATTCTGTTAATAAAGTTAATAT